GGCCGATGGAGAGGTGGAAAGCAAAGAGCAGTGGCAGAGTTTCATGAACGTTTTCTTCTGTGGTGGAGCTGGCAGAAGGAACCTTCTCCTTCCTCCCTTGGCCATGCAGAGGCAACAACGCTGATCTGAGTTACAAATGACCCAGTGTTTGTTCTGTTGCTGGTCTGGTCTGCTGTGTTGCCCAAGCTAACACCATCACCTGCAAGAGAAACATCAAGGGCTATGTGGGGATCTACGGCAGAGAGAGGACCAGCACCCAGGTCCTGGGGGGGAAGGCCGTGCCTCGCCTTCACTGCCTGAGCCCTACTCCCTCCAATCTTGCTGTGGCCTGCAACAAAACGCAGGGTGTGATTTTATTTTTTTTTTATCTTGTCCTGGGAATTGCTAAAAAATCCACATGCTCCTGGCCTGCTCTGCCCAGGATTACCAGCCTCTTCCTCCTTCCTTGATGCAGCTGCCACTGCTGTCTTAATGGTTTGGTCATGCTCTCCTCATCTCCAACCAAAAAGCTCTTTAAACCTAAAACAAAAATGATTAGGCAGGCTTAGGAAACAGCAAAGGCTTCAAAGGATTAAATGCTAACGCTTCCTGCTACCCTTAGAGAGATCAAACATTCTGCTCTGTTAGCCCTGCAGCAGCAGAAAATGGTACTAAATCTTTTCCCCAGCAATCAGGGGATTTCAGTGGCGGTGCAGGATTGCATGTAAGGAGGAGCAGGAGACTGATTTATGAGGAAAGATTAAAATGACTAAATATATATCTCTCGGCCAAGCCACTGCTAAGGAGCAATGTGACAACCGCGCAGAAGAACCTGAAGGGCACAAAGAACACAGGGAGGGGTGGAAAAGTTTGGGGCGTCGTAAAGGCCTGCGATGGTAGAAATGATGCAAAATATGGGGCAATGGTAGAAATTACTCAAAATCTGGGGATCGTGATGGGCTGGCAGGCGGCTGAGGCTTAGCGGTGGCTGTGAGCGAGCACCTCATGGCTGCCAAGTCATTCCCATCCCTGAATGCTCATCCCTGCCATCCTGGGGCTTTAAACTCAGTGAAATCACTGCAAGTGAAACCACTAGTTGTTGAAAAACAAACAAACAAACAAACAATTCCATTTTTGGGAAATGCTGAATTAAGGACCAAAGACCACTTTGGAAATACGGGGAGGAGGACACGCTAATCTCCCATCGATAATTAAAAGCAAAAAACATAGAACGCGATGAGATTGCTGAGGAGGAGGGTGATTAATCTCCTCCAAAGAGTCTCTGCAGCGGATAAATTTAAGGCCAAAAAGTGGGTTTTCCTCCCGACTGCATGAAGGTCTCTTCGGGGCC